AAAAAAAAAAAAAAGAGTTTTTTTCCTTAACGTGCATTTCTCTGAGTTCCCTCTTTTCCCATGGTTATTTGATATTTTGAGCCTTGGTTACAGTGCAGGATCACATAGTTTACATACAGGTAAAGTTGTTGAGAAAGTGAATGCCATGGTTAGGAGGGTAATTTAGAAAGTACACTCAGCAGGCAAGGCAAGGAAGCAAGCCTGGAAACAAAGAGGCTGCTGCAGTGGTCCTGGTGAGAAGCGACAGGGGCCACAGAGGCAGCAGGCCAGAAAGGAGGAGTGAATTCAGGAGAACTTTTAAAGTAAAAAGCAAAAGATAATGTTAAGATGAAGGGCAGGACAGAGGTAATAAAATCCGTGCTTTTGAGCTTGGAAAGAAGGATGGGTCAGCTTTTTTCTTTCCCCCATCTGTAACAGGGGAGCCCCAAATCTGTGAGGACACTCACGTAACGTGTTTGCTTATTCCAAAGAACTCACCTGGGGGTCCAACAGTACTGATGGCAGCCGGTTAGTCAGATACCTGCACCACCATGGGGTACATACAACAGTTATGTAGTGAACAGATCAGAGTAGGGGTGTAAATCATTTTCAGGCTTACATGCAGACCCTCACCCAGCTCATATAACTCAGAGTGCGTGGGATATCTGGCTGGGCAGGTAAGTTAATCTACTCACTACTCTCCTGGCATCATAGTGCTTGTTCATTTACTTAGGGTCCCTTGCTCCCTCCAGCTCTGTTTGTCTTAGAGGGGATGTGCCTTTCCTTGAGTAACTACCTTGGCCGGGGGTAGTCTCCCAGAAGGGAGGGGGACTCTGATATTTACCGGGAGGTGGGAATAGGGCTAAGTCCAGCAGCCCTATTCCCCCCTCGCATAACTATTTTTAGGCTCAGCTTAAACGTCATCTGTTCAGAGAGATCTTTCTTGACTGCCCTATCCACAGTGGGACTTCCACCCTAGCTGTGCTATTTTATATCACTCCACCCTGTTTATGTCCTTTATGGCACTTCTAACAATTTGTAGTTATTTTATTGTTTGTCTCCTTTATGTGACTGTAAACTACCTGAGGGCAGCGTCTGGTCCGTTTTTTATCCCTGAGCCTAGTACAGGGCCTGGTGCATACCAGGTGATTAAGAAAACTTCTGTTGAATGAATGAACGCATGAATGAGGACCAAGGAAGGAGGGTCAGGCTGGGGAACAAGATACCTAGGAGAGCCCCAGTTTCTGGCATCCATGAAAATCTCTCCAGCAGGCAGCTGGAGGGGAGAAAGAAAGGGGCTCTGGGAGTCATCTGTTTAAGAAAACCCTATCACCGAATGGAGATCGCCTAGGCAGGGTCAAGACAAAAGCTACCTCGCCAGAGAATTACTACGAGCATTTCTTAAGCACCCACAGCTTCCTCCGCAACTCCCAGACACACTGCAGCAGAATCTCTGGAATGTGTAACACGCTCCAGGTGACTTTGATGCATCTGGAGAGGAGGACACACGTGTGCGGGGGGAGGGAGAGAACAGGGGCTGAGACGGTGACTTTAGATGGCCAAGTATTAGAACAGGAGGACAAGCAGGCAGCTGACAGGGAAAGAGGCCCCCGAGGCTGCCCCGCCTCCGCCGGGACCTTTGGGCACACTTGGCCTCGGGCCGCGAGCGGGAGCTGACCCGCCCCCACCGCACCACACTCCGATTGGCCACCGCCCCGCCCGTCTCCC